TCTTTGTCTTTTTTTGGAGAGGTTTTTGCTATAAGGTGCATGCGCTCGCCAGACAGACAGACAGACAGACAGAAAGCGAGAAATGATCCCCCCAGGGGGATGGCCATGCCGCAATCCCTTCTCTTCCACTCTTCTCTCGGGATCTTGGGCACACATGCACACGCGCCTGGCGTGAGTTTAAGCCACCAGGTCCGGGACTCAAACAACAGTCAACTACATGGGAGTCCAGCGACGTAGCCATTATGCCAACTGCTGGTCCCGGAAAGCTTTTCATAGGCACTACAGTTACTATGGTGGGGGCCCTTCCTTCCTGGACTGCTGGAGGCACACGTTCCAAGGGGCATTGGCATTGACTTCATTTTCTCACTCACCCATTCATTCACTCATTCCTTCACCCGTTCATTCATCCTGTGGGTCTTCGATGCTTGCCTCCTCGGCGTTGGGCAGGGGTAAGAGATTTCCAGTGGGGTTGGTCAGAGGAGGAAAGTGACGTGGAGCGAGCTGTTAGCAAGTCCTTCCTTGCGTCTTCTCTGACTTTTGGATCAGCTCCAGCTGCTTTCCTTGGGGAGACTGCTGCGGCCCGAAGCCTGGCCAGGTGGGGTCCACCAGTGGAGTTGTCTTCCTACAAGTGGGGCCCATATGCCTGCTTGGTGATACATGTTGGGTGCTACACCTCCGTCCTCGGCTTCTCTTTCTTTCCTTTCCCTCCATACCTGCATCCTTCAATACTGGTCAAGTTGGTTAGGCTGTTGGTTCTCCGTGAAGCAGCCAAGCTCACCGTTTTATTTCACTGGGGGCTGGGATTTTTTTCCTTCTTTTTCACCATAGGATGCATGCACTTGCTGGAGAGAGATGGAGGGAAATGAGAAATTACCCAGTCTCCCCTAGGGGAATGGCCATGCCACAATCCCTTCTTCTCAATTCTCTTGCGATTTTGGGCATACATACACATGTGCTTAGCATGATTTTCACGCTGCTGGGTCTGGGACTTGAACTGCAGTCAGCCACGTGGGAATCCAGTGCCTTAACCCCCATGCGACCTGCTAGTCTCTGGGGCAGAGTTGCAAATTTTAACCATGCCTGGTATCTCATTACTTACTAATTTCTTTTTTAAGATAATACTTGGTGTTTATTCAAAACATCTATTTTGTTCCCATTGTGATCAACCAGTATTTTAATGCATTTATTTGATTTCTTTCCTTTTTTTGGGGGGGGGAGAGGTTTTTGCTATTAGGGCATGTGCACTTGCCAGATAGACAGAGAGAGGCAAAGAGACAGAACGTGAGAAATCACCCCCCAGGGGGGATGGCCACGCCACAATCCCTTCTCCTCCATTCTCCTCTTGGGATCTTGGGCACGCATGCACACGCGCCCGGTATGAGGTTTAAGCCACTGGGTCTGGGACTCGAACTGCGGTCAACTACATGGGAACCCAGTGACATAGCCATTATGCTAACTGCTGGTCCCACATTTATTTGATTTCTAATTAGTTGCTTCTAATTAATAATTCTGGCAGCTGCAATTAATATAAGAAATTGAATTATACATGCATATTCACACACATGTATTTATATACATATACATATAGACTGGATGCGGAGTTTATAGAGAGGGCTGATGGATTTGGAACGAAAGCCAAAATATAGACAAAATGGGTGCAAAACAAGAAAAAGAACAGCGGTGCCTCACCCCACTTCCACTGTTGCTGCAGCTGTTAGAAACAGCTGGGGTGGGGTGGGGTGAGGTGGGGTGGGGAAGCCACTGGCTCTCCTGGTCATCCGTCTTACCTCTTACCCAGGTGGGCATGGCTGCTGTGGCCTGTCGCAGGACACTTGCACCACCTGCTCGGCCTCGGCTCTCTCTCTCTTGGTCTTTGGCTGTTGCAAAACCTGGAGCCTTGGGGACAGTGTCTTCACAATGCACACCCCACAGGATGGCACCTTCTTCTGGGTCCCCTGGCTCTGGAGTAGGGGCTGCCCTACGGGGCTGGTCAGGTCAGGGGGGGTGCACACGGGCCCCCGCAGTGAGGGTCCTGCTGGCTCTGCTCCGGGGGAAAGGTAATAGCAGCTGCTTCCCCTCGCCATTGGTATAAATCCCACAATCAGGAAAATTGCTTCAATTGCTAAAAAACGCTGGTGGGAAAGTCCATTTATTTTTCATTTTTCTTGTGCACTTGCCGCCCTCCCGCATGAATCACTGTCGGTGTGCAGATTAAATTTACACCCCGTTATCTTTCATGTCTCGGGTGCTCCGTGTCAGCTGGGCTTCTGGTTACTGAAAGGCCTGTCTGCTTTTTCATGGCGGACAGGTGGCCCTTCCCACAGGGGAGGCCGCCGGGGGGTCTTTGTTCTGTTCTGGGGTCTTCTCCAAGCCCTCCCCTCCTCAGGTCCCTGTCCCTGTTTTGACCACGAAGGTGGAACTTACCTTTGGGGAAACTCGTTCTTCCCTGGAGCTGTGTCTGCTTCAGCCTCTGCGGCTGACTTGGGACACACTTTCCAGTGAGCGTGATGACGACTTTCTTTCTTTCTTTCTTTTTCTTTCTTTCTTTCTTTCTTTCTTTCTTTCTTTTCTTTCTTTTTCTTTCTTTCTTTCTTTCTTTCTTTCTTTCTTTCTTTCTTTCTTTCTTTCTCTTTCTTTTAAGTTTTTATGAGACAGCACCCCCAAGAGGATTCTCTCTCTCTGTCTCTCTCTTTAGATTTTTGTCATAGGATGCATATGCTCACCAGAGAAAGACAGAGACAGAGAGAGGAAAAGTGAGAAATCATCACCTGGGGGGTGGCCTTGCTGCAATTTCTTCTCCATTCTTCCCTTGAGATTTTGGGCACACACACACACAGTGTGAGTTTCAAGCCGCCTGCTCCAGGACTCAAACTGTGGTCGGCCTTGTGGGAGTCTAATGTCTTAACCACTACGCCACCTGCTGGCCCTCCACGAGGGTTCTTACACTATGATCTGTCTCCTGCTGCGGCCAGCCCAGATCACGGTTATGTGCACGTGTGCCTGCCCAGCATTCACAGCCAGGCCTGGACACGGATCCAGGGCCTTCCCAGGTGGGCCTGACACTGCGGTGTTGCCTTACTGTCGCTCCGCCCCAGCCCCTTTCACGGTAACGCCTGCTTTGTGGACTGGCCATAAACAGCACGGGCCTCCTTGAAATCACTCTCCAGTAACAGACAGGTTTCCCTCCTTTTGTTGCACACACACACACACACACACACACACTCACACACACCCCTGGGTGTCCACCTGCTTCCTAAATACAGGTTACTGCCATTTGGGAGAAGGCCGGTTCCCACCCGAGTCCTGGGAGGCACGTCGCTGCCCCTTTCCACGCTCTCCACCAGCAGGTTCAGCCCTGGGTGTGCGTGCCCTCTGGGAGCAGGTTCTTTACCGACTGACTTACGTAGTCGAGAAATATTAACTCCACTCTTCTGGTCTTGAAGGTCTGAACATCTGATGAAAGCCCAGGCCCCCTCCTGAGGAACAGTTTTGAACTGTTTGGGGGTGCGGTGCAAAGCCCACCCTGCACCCCAGCTGAGAACTCCTCTAAATGAGCCTGCTTCCACACACTCCAGGGCTCCCAAACCGAAGAGGCATTCCAGGAATGCAGAAACCTGGAGCCTTACTCAAGCCAGGCTGTTGTACGGGTCTCGGGTCTCGGAAGAGAAGTCCCTTGGACCAAGTCCTCTGGACCACGCTCGGGGTGTTTGGGGGCTCCCCGTGGAGACTCAGAGACCCCCACTTCTCTCTGGAACACCATGTCCTGGTGGGGGGCTTCGGAAGGCGCAGCTGGCCGAGCCCGTAGCAGGCCCCTGTCGCCCCCGCAGCAGAGGTATCATTACTGCATAAGAGACCCATCATTCTGCATTAATCTGGGATTCATCATGATAGCCATGACCATAATTAATTTATTTGGTATTAATGTGGATGAAATATGTACTGTCCTTTCAGGGGAAATCAGGCTGCCTATAAGCATTAGTTAAAAGGACCATTAAAATCAAACCTTCCCCAGATCCATTAGGCGAAGTCTTTCATCCTGAAGAAGATGAAGTTCTGCCGTGTGAAATGTCATGAATAATTAGGTTGATTGCTGTTTTAAACTCTGCCCCTGCCTCCCCGGCCCTCCCGCCTCCCTCCCGCAGTGGGGAAGGCCCCCCTGAGGCCAGGCACCCCTTTCTCTGCCCATGTCTACCCTGGACCCTGAAGTCCCTCGCGGCTCGGTGACCAGAGGTGTGGCTCTAGTTATGTCCAGGACTGGCTGGGGCGGGGGCCTGCAGGGACCACTGGGCCCTATTTCCCCCCTTCCTTCCCTGCGTTGGCAGTGGGTGACTTCTTGCCTTGAGGCTGGGCCCCAAAGCAGGGTCCAGGGAGAGGGCTGAGGGTGCATTTTTCAGGTGGAAATCTGCAGACCCTTTGTTGCCCCGACATGTTGCAGGGCATGGACGTGCAGCTTCCCAGGACCACCTGCACACCACACCTCAGGGCTGTGTGTGGGATGGGATGCAGGCTGGCACCCAGGACTTTCCTGGGCTGAATGGAAGGAGAGGAGTGGACCGAGCAGAAGACACCGTGGAGAGAGCCCTGCTCCCTCACCTCCACCCACCCCAGCGCCCGCCCACTGCCCTGGCTGTGGACAGTGCTGCCTCCTGGTGGGGCAGGGCCTGCTCGGGCAGCGTGTGCAGTGGTGCCTGCTGGGGGACTTCCCACACGTCGGCCCTGGCACAAGCAGCTCCCAGTGAGGGCGGATCTCGAGGAGTCAGCCATGGGCACGCGGGGAGGGCAGGGTGCAGCTGGGCATGTGGTGCCCTGGGGTGGCCTGGGAAGGTGCTGAGGCTCCAGGCACACCACAGTGAGGCTGGCCGGAGGCGAGGCTCCGATGCACTCTGGGTGGTTGGCATGGAGGATTATGGACACCTTGAGTTGGGGACAGGGATTTCTGGGAAGTGGGGAGAAGCCTCTTCGGCTCCTGCCCGTGTCCTGATCCTCTTCTAACCCGACAGGCGCTTTGGCACAAAATGCACGGCCTGCCAGCAGGGCATCCCCCCGACCCAGGTGGTCCGCAAGGCCCAGGACTTCGTGTACCACCTGCACTGCTTCGCCTGCGTCATCTGCAACCGGCAGCTGGCCACGGGGGACGAGTTCTACCTCATGGAGGACGGCCGGCTGGTGTGCAAGGAGGACTACGAGACTGCCAAGCAGAACGGTAAGCGCACCACCGCCAGGCGGGTCCAGGCTCTGCCCTGCCCTGCCCTGCCCTGCCCCGGTGCCTTCCCTTCCCAGTCCCTTGGAGCCGCAGAGCCCGGCCAAGCAGCCTGTCTCCCACCCTGGGCAATGGGCTCCGGGCCTGCTGGGATGGGCTGGGACTGCAACCGGGAGCTTGGTTGACCACAGGCACTTGAGGTTGCTACTTCCTTTTGCATATGGGGGTGCACGTTTACCTCAGCACCCTCAGGCCTATGGCTGCAGTCAGGGAAGGCCGGGTCACTGGCCTAGGTCGGCCTTCTGCAGGTTGGTCTGCATTTCAGCTCCTGGTGCTCTGTCTCCCCCTCAGACTGGGCTGTGGAGGGCAGGGGCTGGGGTGCCGACTCCTGGTGCTGGAGCTGCAGCGGGTGCCGTCTGCGGGATGAAGAGGAGGGGCCTCTGGCTACTCAGGGAGACTCCGCCCAACCATGTAATTTCTCTGGGCCCCCAGGACCTTACTCCCGGCTGCAGTGGGAGCTCTGCACAGGCCAGGCTGGCATCAGGCCTGTTTTCAGCAGCCGCACCCGGAATCCTGCAGGCCCCCTCTCCATGCCTGTGGAGCAGCCTTGTTCTTTCCAGCGCCTGGATGGGGCCCAGCAGGCACAGGGTCCTGCACCCCTCAGGAAGGCCTGGTAGACTCCCTGTTCCCTGCAGAGCCATCTTCAGGTTCTCACTCACAGCTGGGCCCACAGGGTAAAGGTGTGTACCTTGGCTCTGAATTTGGGATCTGGCCAAACCCATGTGGGACTCTCGGATGAACAAACTCAGAAATCATCGAGGTCCTTTGCCTTAAAGTAGAATTGTTAGCAACTCAGGGCGTTACTGCAAAAGTAGCTCTTATTGATAGCTCTGGGCTTGATTTTAAAGAAAAAAGACAATTTCATATATCTCTTCCTAGCTTTTTCCTGGGCCCAAACATATGTGTTACACAAGGGGACTTCAAAAAGTTAATGGAAAAAGGAATTGAAATACAGGTTTCTTTCTTCCCTCCTTTCTTTCTCTTTCTTTCCTTCTCTCTTTCTTTCCTTCTCTCTCTCTCTCTCTCTTTCTCTTTCTTTCTTTCTCCTTTCTCTCTTTCTTTCTTTTTTTTTCCTGGAGGTTGAATGTGCTCCCCAGAGAGAGACAGAGAGAAATGGAGTGCAGGAGAAAGCACCCCCTAAGGGGCACGCCATGCCACAATCCCTTCTCCTCCATCCCTCTCACCTTTCGGAGTTTGGAGGACACATGCACACACACTCAGCATCCTTCTCAAGCCACTGGGTCCAGGACTCAAACCACATGGTCGGCCGTGTGGGATGCAACTACCTTGACCATCAGGCCACAGGCTGGCCCAAGTGTAAACTTTCCCCCCTATTGCAGAGGTGCGTGCACTTGCCAGAGAGAGGGAAAGCACCCTTCAACAGGACGTGGTCCTGCCATGACCGACCCCCTTTCCTTCATCTCCCCATCCTGTCCGGGTTTGGGCAGGTATATACTCGTGACTGAGGCACTGTTCAAGCCACTGGGACTGGGGCTCAAACCAAGGTTGGCCATGTGGGATCCAGTGTCCTTAACCATTAGGCTATGGGTCCAGTTTAGTAAATTTCTTTGGATGCAGGAAAATTTTGAAGTCCATGCATAGCTTTTTCATAATATATGTTTTCCATGAGCTTTCAAACACTCCTTGTGTAGCTCTGATCGATATGTGGAAAAATAAGCTTTTTGCTTAATAAGTACAGTTTAATTAATTTATAAATTAATAAATCGGGGTTGTGGTGCTGAGCAGCCAGGGCTAATTCCGAGGGACCCTTGTGGGGAGCCACCTGGAGCTCAGGTTGACTTTGCAGGAGGCAGGGAGGGCAGGGGTGCTCATAGTGGGGCTTCCTCTCCTTTTTGAGGACCTTCTGCCCTGTCAACCCACAGCTCTGACCTTTCAGGATTAGACAGAGGTCCTTGCCTTCTTCCTCCAGAGACTGGACCTCTGTAAACCCATTCCAAGGCTCTTTGCCTTAATGTACCTAACTGCTCTGGTTTCTTTTATTTATTTATTTATTTATTTATTTATTTATTTATTTATTATTATGGAGAGTTTTTTTTTTTTTTCCTATAAGGGCGTGTGCACTCACTAGAAAGACGGTGAGAGACAGAGAGACAGAAAGCAAGGAATCACCCCCCAGGGGGGATGACCACACTGCAATCCCTTCTCCTCCATTCTCCTCTCAGGATCTTGGGCATGCATGCACATGCGCCTGGTGTGAGTTTAAGCTACCGAGTCCGGGACTTGAATCACAGTCAACTACATGGGAGTCCAGTGACAGCCATTATGCCAACTACTGGTCCCTTATTTATTTATTTTAGAGAGTTTTTTTAAAAAGATTTTTTGCAACAGGGTATGTGTGCTTGCTGGAGAGACAGAGACAGACGGACAGAAAGTGAGACATCACTCTCGGGGGATGGTTATGCTGCAATCCCTTCTCCTCCATTCTCCTCTCAGGATTTGGGGCACACACGCACACATGCCCGGCATGAGTTTTAAGCTACCAGGTCCAGGACTTGAACTGCAGTCGATTATATGGAAGTTCAGTGACATAATTATTATGCCATCTGCTGGACCCCTTCTCTGAATCCTATTGCTTTGGAGTCAGTTATGATGTCAGAGAAGACTGGCACCTCTGGTCCCTCAAAGCAGAGGGACTCTGTGATACCCAGACCCTTCAGAACACGGACGCCCTGCATCAGACACTAAGCAGGCACGACCTCCACCGGCCCGTCCTGGTTCTCCTTGTGGAGCCTCAGTGAGACCCCGAGCACACTGACCCCGCCTCTCCTGGTGCTGTGGATGGGGCAAGAGAAGAGGAGACGCGTAGGCTGGTCATGACGGAGCTCGGAGGCAACTGCTGTCGGGAGGCTTGTGCTTTTGTCGGGGAGTGTTTGCAGCACAGCCGAGCCCACGGGACAGCACGACACTGGGTCTGGCACCAGAGGCTGGGTGGCGTCCCCGCGGACTTTCAGGTCTCCAGCCGTGCCTTGGCCTCCCAGATCTAAAAGGAGGATAATAAAACCTCTCACAGAGGGCAGTTTCCTGAGGTTTAAGTAGAATAAGGCTCGTGACCAGGCTGTTAAATATGACAGCCCAGTTGGGAGAGAGATGCAGATAGGGAGGTGAGGCGTGTGTTATGTGAGGCGTGTGTTAGGCTAGGCAGCTGAAGGCTATGCAGGACTCGGGTGTGTCCCTCAGGGGTCCCCCGTGCCTCGGCTGTCAGCAAAGCAGGGCCGCTGGGCAGTCCCATTTGTCTGCTGCAGGACGTCTGTCCATCTTCTCAGTTGTTTCCGGCTTGCCAGGGCCACATGCTCTTCCAGGCTCACGCTCCCTCCCTTGAGCTAAACAAAGGCCCCACTATCAGCCATTTGCACCTTAGCGTAAATGATTTTGTTCGCTGGTTCCATCTCCCTGGATATTTGCATTTCCAATATAATGAGGTTGCATTTTATGCCAGGGACAAGTTCTAGGAGACCCTGCATAATTCAAAACTAACATACTTTAAGACTAATTTTCCCATAGGAATTAATGTAAAAAGTAGGAGGGGGGACGTGAATTCTGGGAGCACATAAATCCATAACGGGCGAAGTGTATCTTTGCCTTAATGCTACTTTTTATTTTCTCAGCATTATCTCTAATACCTTGCAGAATGCTCTCTCCTAAATTAACAGCCAGGGGATCGTGGTCTTCCTTGGCCTTCCTCATCGCATTTTATCACATTTAACTTCCGTACCAAAGGTATTGATTTTTGGGTACATTTTTCAGCACGAGCACTGCCACCACTACTTAATGAATACTTGGATGACATTGTTATAGGATATAAAAAGGATTTTAAATTATAATAACAGCGAATGTTAAAATAACAGCATATTAGTCCCCATAATCGCAAGAAGAAAGTCCTGTGCATATAAGCAATGGTGTGGAACCAATGGTCACCGATCTGAAACCAACAGTTTACCAGGCAGGGGGACAGGGGTATGTCCCTGTGACTCTGCTATCTGGTCATGGTGACAAGAATTCCTAATTCACCAGGCCAAGTTATTTGGGCATTAAATGATTCATGATGATTCAAAACATTTTTGGGAGTTTCATTATTTCGAATTTTTATAAAGATGGGACCAGCAGTTGGCCTAATGGCTATGTCACTGGACTCCCATGTAGTCAACTGTGGATCGAGGCCCAGACCCGGTGGCTTAAACTCATGCTGAGTGCGTGTGTGTGCATGCCCAAGATCCAAGAGGAGAATGGAGGAGAAGGGATTGCAGCATGACCATCCTCCCTGGGGGGTGATTTCTCGCTTTCTGTCTCTCTGTGTCTCTCTGTCTTTCTGGCAAGCACATGCGCCCTATAGCATAAAAACCTCTCCAAAAACCAAACCAAACCAAAACAAATTTTTATAAAGACTATACCTTTTTAAAAAATTTATTTAATTTTATTTACTATTTTAAAATTTGCTATAGGGCACGTGCACTCAACAGAGAGAGAGAAAGAGGGAAAGTGAGAAAGCAAACTGCCAGGTCCAGGACTCAAACTGTTGTTGGCCATGTGGGGGTCCAGTGCCTCACCCGTCACACCACCTACTGGCCCGAAGACTGTATCTTTTTAAAGTGTATAATTTCCTACCTACAGTACTTCGACTTTGCATTGAATGCCATCATGCTGTAATTTCTGTGATGATATCTAAGTACTAGAATTCAAAGTGAAGGATTTGGAAGGTTTTCTTCAGTCTTTTGGAATGACCGCTGCATGGTATCATTTCTGGAATACACTCTCTGTAGTTCCAGGACTCCAGGGAGGGAGATGGGTGATGGGGGTTCTGGGATGACAGTGGCTCTACTGGAGAAGAAAACAGCCCGAGGAGAAGACAGGACAAGACAGGACGCTGAGGCCTCTTCCACCTTTATGGACTGTAGTGTGAGCCTGAGCTGCTTAACTGCTTCATTTCTAGAACACGCCACCACATGCAGGGCAGGTGGTATTGCCCTGCCCCCCCCCCAGCCCCAGCCTCAGAGGGGTGAGGTTACCTGCTCACGTCACCACTCAGCAAGAATGCTGAGTCCAGGGATTGAACTTGGAGTTCTCTGACTCCAAGGAGAACCTTTCACAACTGTGAGGACTGAATGTATGTAAACTCTTTAGTCGACACCAGCACATAGTAGGTGCTTAATACATGTGGGCCAGGAGAGGGTTTGGCGTGGAGAGGAAGGAGTAGAGTCAGGGAGGAAGTAGGAATGTTGTAGAGACTTCAGGGGGCCGGTGCCAGGGGACACCAGAACCAGGGAGCCGGGGAGCCACCCCTTGCCTCCCCCAGCAGTGCGGAGCGGGAATGGCAGTGGATGCACCCCCCTCCGCCAGAAGAAGCACCATTTACACTTGACTGTGTGCTGTGGGCTGGGCTCGGGGCCTCTCTCTAGGACTGACCCAGAGGGGAGCAAACCAGCCTTAGCCAACAGGAACTTGAGGACTCTCTACTCAAAGTCCACAGAAGACTGTGCTGATGGGTGTGTTTTCCTGAATAACCTGAAGAGCAGTGTTTTTCTTTCTTCTCCATTTTTTTAGAGAGATTTTTGCTATAGGATGTGTGTACTTGCCGGAGAGACAGAGAGACAGGAAGTGAGAAATCACCCTGGCCATGCTGCAATCCCTTCTCCTCTATTATCTTCTCGTGCTTGACCTGAGTTTTAAGCTGCCAAGTCTGGGACTCGAACGGTGGTTGACTACGTGGAAATCCAGTGACGTAGCCGTTATGCTATCTGTTGGTCCTAAGACCAGTGTTTTTCAAAAATGTAGATTGTGATCCACAGCAAGAAACTCTTCTTCCTTTTTTTTTTTTTGGTTGAGATTTTTGCTATAGGGTATGTGTACTTGCTAGAGAGACAGAAAGTGAGAAATCATCCCCCGGGGAGATGGCCGCGCCACAATCCCTTCTCCTCCATTCTCTTCTCAGGATTTTGGGCACACACTCAAATATGCCCAGCATGAGGTGTTTTTTTTTTTTAAATAATTTTTTTCATTTTATTTATTACTATTATTTTAATTTGACCAGAGAGAGAGGGAAAGTGAGAAAGCAAGTCACCAGGTCTGGGACTCAAACTGCAGTTGGCCATGTGGATAATCCAGTGTCCTTAACTATCACGCCACCTGCCACCACAACACCCTCTCCTCCAAACCCCCACTCCCCACTCCCAGCCCCCCAGTTTTTAGCTGCCAGTTCGGGACTGGAACTGTGGTTGACTACGTGGGAGTCCAGTGACATAACCATTATACCATCTGCTGGTCCCAGGGAACTCATATTTTAACTCAGCACAGACTCATGGGAGGAAACATGAATAAGGTCCATGAAGCAAACCATCCTATCCCGCTCCTGCTCCGTTCTGTCTTCCTCTCTTATTTCCTCTCTTGGTTTTGACTCACTAAATTGACGTTATTGCTGCTGGCTTCTGGCTCAGAGTTCATGCAAAGAGAGCTTCGATGACTCGGGAGCTGCAGGCCACCCTGGAGGGAGCCAGGGAGGTCACTGGGGACCCCTGGTGGGAGAGAGCACACATGGGTGCGTGTCCCAGGAAGCGTGTCCACGTCAGTGTGAATGGGAGCGGGGCCTGAAGGACAGGGAAGCCGAGCCCGGTAAGCAGTGGGTTTCCCCGCAGATGACTCAGAGGCGGGCGCCAAGCGGCCCCGGACCACCATCACGGCCAAGCAGCTGGAGACGCTGAAGAATGCCTACAAGAACTCCCCCAAGCCCGCCCGGCACGTGCGGGAGCAGCTGTCTTCCGAGACAGGCCTGGACATGAGGGTCGTGCAGGTGAGACGGCCAGGATGTCTCTGCCCTGCGGGGACCTGGGCCTGGGGGCCTGTGTCTCTGCCCGATATAGAGGGAGCCTTGGGTGCTTGCTCTGAGTCCTGTCGCTGGTCCCCTGGCGAGCTGGCTTAGGGCCACGCCTCAGGGCTTTAGCAGGTCTGGAGAGCAGTGGGAGGTGGGGAGGGAGTGGCACATGGCACTGAAGCTTCCGGCTTTCCCAGCCCCCTGCTTGATGAGGCTGGGCTGGTGGTGACACTTGCCCCCTATGTGTCCCTTGTGCTTGTGAGGCAGGTTTGGTTTCAGAACAGAAGGGCCAAGGAGAAACGGCTGAAGAAGGACGCGGGCCGGCATCGTTGGGGGCAGTTCTACAAGAGCGTCAAGAGGAGCCGGGGCAGCAGCAAGCAGGAGAAGGAGAGCTCTGCGGAGGACTGTGGGGTTAGTGACAGTGAGCTGAGCTTCCGAGGTGAGCAGGGCTGCGGGGCCAGGCCCAGCTTTACACAAACCCGGGGACACCGTGATCCTGCCACTGGGAGGGTCTGTCCCTCTTAAGGCGGTGGCAAATCCTTCCTGGGCACCGGCTTGTCCCCAAGACTCACAGTGAAGGGTGGGCAGATGTTAGTGGCCCTTTATGAAGGGGTGACAGGGCACTGCTGCTGAGACAGGAAAGCTGGGTGCCCTGGGACCTGGCTGAGCTGCGTCCTGGGTCCCGGACTCCCTCCTCTCTGCTGCCCAGGGTCTCCATCACCAGCCCACCCAGCTGCAGACAGAGCTGCATCTCACTCAGCCTTGGGCCCCTTGCCCTCTCTTGCATTTCTCTCTTTTGCAGGGATGCTGGCTCACCTCCCACGGTCCCCAAAGTAACCCCTTCTTCCTGTCTTGGTGGCAGGGAAGGCGTGCTCAGTAGGGCCCCTTTCCAGGGAATTCAGTATTGTGATGCACGTGAGATGGGGACCTGGCTTCGTCTCTGCAATCCATCCCCTCCCCCCCATGCACCTCAGCCACCCCTGCACACATGCTTTGCAGCATGCGCTACACTCAGGTCTGTGCGTCGGCAAACTGCGGACGCCTGCATGTCCGGGTCCTCAGGTTGTTTGCAAGTAACCGTAACTGCTCAGTTGCTGAGTCCTCCAAAGGGGAAGGGAAGAGTACTAAACTAGGGATGAGGAGCCTGGTTCCGTCAGGTGGGTTCACTTCTCTTGCGCCTTAGTTTCCCATCTGTAAGGGGAGAATACCGCATCTTTGCCTCACAGTGCTGTGTGGGAGACCAGTGCGCAAAACCGACTGGCTGTGCCGGGGGAAAGCTAATCACCTGAGCACATGTGGAAGGTATGGCTGACCTGGGGGGCCTGTGGCTCACACAGAAGGCCCTGGTTATACAGGGTGACAGATACAGGCAGAGGCCACGTCATGGCCATTTTACAGTGGGGCTGAGCTTTCCTCTTCCTGCTCTCTTTAAAGGGCATGAGCCACCCTAACGCACTCATTTTAATTTTTCATCTTCATGAGTGGATTGGCCTCAGAAGGGCCGAGGTGATGAAGTCTCGTGCAGAGAGGTTGTGTATAGAAATTCACACATAGGCCCGGGGAAATAGAGGAGTTTCTAGGACAGAGGATGGAACAGGTGGCCTGCCTAAGAGGATGGTAGCAGGGATCTGCTAAGACCGAGCGGTCAGCCTCCTCTCGGAATGCAGGGTTTGGGGCCTCTGTGGGGACTCAGAAGTCGTATGCTCACCTACTGAGCCTCTTGGCAGGACTGGTAAAACCACTTAATCTCATCTGAGCTGCTGAAGTCAACACCTGGAACACACAAGACTGTTTTGCAGCTCATTTCTGTTGGCTGTGGGTGAGGCATGAATAATCTATTTCTTAGGCCTAAGCAGCTCACCTCTGTGGGAGACATTTCTTTCAGCTAAAGATTCCACTAGATCCCCTTGATGAAATTCTTCAAGAAACAAGAAGGCCCACTTGCCTTAGACCAGTCAGTCCTCTGTCCCTGGTGCAGAGCTTATGGAATAGAGAGAGAAACCAATTCTGATACAGAACCTCTTCCAGGTAGACCAGGAGGCTTTTGCACACATCTGAGTGGTTCTCAGCTGCCTTTGTCCGGGTCCTATGGGGCCTGCTGATTCCCAGCCATCTCAGCCAGACACTTCTCTCAGCTTGTAGGCTCTCCGAATAACTCCCGTCTGTGGTCTCCATTTGTGACATGGGTAACATAGGACCCACGGACCCCTGGGCACTCCTACTCCTCAGTGTAGCCATAATATCTCAGTACAGGAGCCATGCGTGCCCAACACACTCCCCACACATTTGCCCAGCCTTCTGGGCCCTGGAGAGCTAGTCTCTGCAGGCACTTCCTGTTTTCCCCATGACCAGGTTGGTCTCTGAGGTCAGGCCACCATGTTGCTATCTGACCCGTTCGTGGCAGAGAGGCAGCTGCTGCCCTTTGGGTTTCTCTCCTGGTCACGTGTGCTCCTAGGGTCTGGAGAGCAGGGGACCACTGGTGGCTGACAATAAATCTCCGTTCTTTCGTCCACAGAGGATCAAATTCTCTCAGAACTTGGCCACACCAATAGGATTTATGGCAACGTAGGGGACGTTACAGGCGGACAGTTAATGAATGGGAGCTTCTCCATGGATGGGACAGGACAATCCTATCAGGACTTAAGGGATGGGAGCCCCTATGGAGTCCCCCAGTCTCCGTCCTCCATATCGTCCCTGCCTTCTCATGCCCCTTTGCTCAATGGGCTGGATTACACGGTGGACAGTAACTTGGGCATCATTGCGCATTCAGGGCAGGGAGTGAGCCAGACGCTGAGAGCCATGGCTGGGGGACCCACCTCCGACATCTCCACAGGCAGCAGTGTAGGCTACCCCGACTTTCCGACTAGCCCAGCCTCATGGCTCGATGAAATGGACCATCCTCCTTTTTAAACTTCTCTCCTCCCCACCCTACCTGTCCTCCTGGCTTGAGAGAATATCTTCAAGGATCAAAAGGACTGGCCTTCTGAGGATCAACAGCGTGCCACTGTGAATGTCCATTATTGTCAATGGAGGGCCTCTGCTGTGTCCTAGAAGGCTGTGAGCCCCACTAGGGCATTGTTTTCCTGGGGAAGTGGAGGGTCGGCTGCTTCACCTCGGAACACGGCACAGGGATGTCCAGCCTGGAGCTGGGGATGCTGGGATGCTGGCTTGTTGGCTCTCACCCCTCTGCCCTGCTTAGAGGCTTTGGCTGCTCAGTGCTTTGGCAGCACGAGGGGACTGTGACAGGTCGCCTTGGCCCAGGGACTCTCCTCCAACTGGCGCATCTCATGCAATGCCTCCCAGACCGCCGCTCTCACCAGAACCGAGTTTTCTGAAGTCAAGGTGTCACGGCCCTTGAGTCTAATAAAATGATTTCTGGACTGCCCTATGGAACACTCATTTTCAAAAGAAAAAGTCAATTATTAAAGGTCAGCGAAAACTTTGATGGCCACAGTTTGAGTTTCAAAACATGCCCCCTCCTTTTTACTTTTGTTTTGATGTGAAAAATATGACTCCTTTCCTATGTGAAGACAAGCCAGAGAACATTCATCAGTTTTGGATCTTAAAATTTACATCCCACTTCTCTCACTGAACCCCTGCTGGCAAGAAGTGGCTTTCATTGCAGGCCACTCTGAGGCCACCATCCTGGACTGCCTAAGAGGTTCCCTCGGGGCGCCACGTGCCTTTTGCTTGTTTATTCCCCAGGACAGGCTGTGGGCGCAGGATGAGCAGAGCGAAGATATGGAGAGAACAGAGCGACAATCAGTGGAGACACTTGTAGACGTGGATTCCAAATAGGCCGTCTGCATAGCCGTGTCGGCGGTGTCAGACTCCCGGAGTTCCGATGTATTCCGAGAGTGTTAGGGAGATCGGTTCCGACGAGCTTGTCTCTTCCCCCTGCCCCTTACAAAAGACAGCCTTCTCTGCTGTCCTAGCTACTCAATTGGAGGATGGTCACGGTCGCTTCCAGGAACTAGCAGTGCTTTTCTGGCCCCCCTCGGTTGGGAAGAATAAATTAGGGGGCAGCCTTGAACATGTCCAAAGGGTTCCCAGTGGTCTTTGGGCTGCACCTCTCTGGCTGCTGGCTGGACTTTGCCATGCCCCAGGCTCCAGCCGGGTGCTCAGGAAGCCAGAGCTCTCTGGCCAGGGGCGGTGCAGGGACTCCCTGCCTGTGTGTTTGCAGTAGCACATTCCCAAGCCTGAGGCAGGGGCAAGGCCCACCCCTGCTTTACAAGCTGCCACCCCAGCGACAGGCTGCACTTGTAAAGGGGGCTGCAATTCCCAGCCTAGGCGCCTCATGCTGGTTCCCAGGAAGCCCTCCGTGTGTATAAGGAGAAGTTGGCCAGCAGG